TTACGGGAGTAGAAAGCCTCATCTTTCTCCCGCGGAGCGGCTGGTAGTTTCGAACCGCTGACCTGAAGGTTCGCAGCCCGATTCGTAACCACTACGCTACCAGAGCTCCTTATAGGCAACTTAGGGCCTATTTAAAAAGCAGTGTTTTTACTTAGTTTTGCACAAAGCTCTGCGGTAACGGGACCAGGAGTAGGTGTTTTCACTGTAACATTCAGAGGGTGGGAGTTGCTTGTGGTGGGTGGTCCCAGCACAGTGGCTACTTCTAGCAGGACACAAACTACTGATTTGCCATTTGGTTGAGGTTGGTATTGCCAAACTGCATCCTCTTCTGTGATGGACTGCCCCCCTTTGCATGGTGCTGGGGTCCTGGTGCAACCTGTTCTCTTGGAAGGACTGGGATGGGGTCCTGAGTCCAATCTCCCTGAGCAGCTGTGACCTGCTCAGACTTGCCCCTATTCAAGGGTGAGCCCACTCTGGGAAAAGGCTGAGACCCAGGCCAGCTCCCAGCACTTGGCAAGTCACTGGACATAACCAGGCAGAAGCTGGATAACAATGGACAGCAGATCTGTCTGTCCGTCCTCACCACACTGGAGCAATGGCGCCCAGGACATAAGGCAAGCAGAGCCTGAGGGGCAGCAGTCCTTCCTGCCTTCAGGGACTTGTAGGAGTCGGGGGGGGGGGGGCGGTAGGAGGAGGATCCAGTGACTTTCTAGCCCACCGCAAGAATCCCTTCCCATCACCACACCAACTATCCACTGCCATGGAGTCTATCCCAAGTCACAGCGACCGTGTATAGGGTTTCCAAGACTGTAACTCTGTATTTGTTGTTGTTGTTGTTGTTAAGTGCCATTGAGTCGGTTCCTCTGTATAGCAGCAGATAAACCTCATCTCCCTCTCATGGAGCAGCTAGTGGGTTTGAACCACTGACTTTGCAGGTTGCAGCTCAATGCCTAACCCACAGCATCATCAGGACTCCTTAATATTCTCATCAAGCAGGGCTTAAGTAGACTGCTTGGTTATCTCCAGTGACAGGAAGCTTCCTACCTCCTGTTTTGTCTGGAACCTATCTTCTAAGCAAAGATGTTGTTAGATATGAATTTCTTAATACTGATCTAAAACCTTCCTTCCTGTCTTCCCTTCATCTTCCTCCTCCCCTTCTTCCTTTCTTTCCTAAAAATCATCTGCTTTTCTATATATTGATGATGGTAGAACTATCCCCATCTGCTGCATTTGCCTATTTATATACTGTGCCAAGCAACATTTCACCGCATCCTCTCAAGAAGGCTGGAGGGATGCATCTTCATTGCACTGTACATACTACGCAATGGAGAGGTGAAGGGCCTGTGGCTAGGAAGTGTTGGAGCCAGGGTTTGAAGGCAGGTCTTTCTGATCTCAAGACCCCTGCTTCGTACTGACTTTCTGTGAGTCAGGACTGTGCTGTGTGACCTTGGGGAAGTCATTTAACCCATCAGGACCTCAGTTTCTTTATTTGTAATATCAGCTTTCTCGGGTTTAAAGAACGTGTCCATCAAAACTCTTGTAGGGCAGGTTGACCAGTTAAACAATGCCATGGTTGCCACCTGCAAACCATTTGGTCCTTGTCCATTGTTGTTGTTGCTAAGTGCTTTGGAGTTGGTTCCAACTCATAACGACCCTGTATAGGGTTTCTGAGGAGCAGCTGGTGAGCTTGAACTGACGACCTTGTTGTTCAAACTGACCTTGCAGTCCAGCGCATTAACCTGCAGCGCCACACCAGGACTCCTTGCGCATTGTTGTTGTTGTTGTTCTGTGCCGTGGAGTTGATTCTGACTCATAGCAACCCTGTACTGGGTTTCTGAGGCTATAAATCTTTACGGGCGCAGAAAGCCTCATCTTTCTCCAGTGGAGGAGTTGGTAATTTCAAACTGCTGACCCTGAGGTTAGCAGCCCAATTTGTAACTACTACATTACCAGAGCTCCTTCCTTGCCCATTAGGAATATGATAAAATGAAATGCCAGTGTGTTAGAATATTCTAGAAGGAGAAAGGGGAAAGACCTTTTTTCCCCCTTCAGCTTAATGAAAGGGCAAGCAAAAACCTCTTTTTATCTACCCCTTATGGTTTCAAATCTTTTTAAGTATAAAGCATTATTTTGTTTACAGTCTGGCTCCTGGACAGTCTCTGACATGTGTTTTTCTTATTCTTTTTTAATGTGTGCTTAACTTGTTTTCTTGTAACTTGTTCTTTTTTACCTAAAATCCCTCAGTTCTGGTACAATAAAGGTTTCAGTATTCAGAAGTTCTTGGTTAACAGCAGACATGCTGTGTGAGCCATGCACTGGGAAAGGACCTCATGAGGCCATTTGATCCCTCCACCCCTGGCCTCAGACTGGGGACACTGACCTTGAGTGCGGATGTTCTGCAGGATGAAGTACAGGTACTCCCCGCAGATGCCGGCCGCCTCCACAAACTCCTCCTGTGTCATGCTGCAGAGCTGTAGGCCGCTGACGTTGAAGTGGCAGAAGGAGATGCAGTTGGCATCCAGCTTGTACTGGTCGCAGCAGAACTGGAGCCATTCCCAGACGTGGCGCTTGGTCCAGTACTCGGGGTGGACGGACGTCCAGTAGGAATCACAGGCTGCAGCAAAGAGGAGAGAGAAGTGAGGGATGATGCCTTCAAGAAGAATGCACTCATTACACTCAAATCACCACCTTCTCAGTGTTCTCTGTCCATTGAGGAAAGAGGCTCCAGCCGTGGGGTGGTCTGCCGGGGCCAAGGCCACCTTCTATTCCACAGAGAAAAGCAGAGGGGCTGGATGGACTTTAGGACCAAAGAAGGAATGACAGGGGCAGTAACCCCAGTCATGACTTGGTAATATCCGAGTCTCATCCTAATGTGGCACTGTAGGATAAGCACTGAACTGCTCAGCATAAGGTCGGTGGTTCAAACCTACCAGCAGCTCCTCAGAACCCCTATACAGTGTCGCTATGAACTGACTCCACCACACTTAGTAACAACAACAATGGAGAAGGAAAGAAGGCCCTCCGGTTATTTGGTTTCAGACACTATGGCATCAAGAACACAGGCTTTGGAGCCTGACAAACTTGTGTTCAAATCCTGTTCTACCACTTTCTACTTGGGCCAGATCCTTAACTATTTATGTTTCATTTTTTCTCATCTGTAAAATGGGGATAATTTGCTCAATTCACAGGAGTATTGGGGGAACTTATGTGGCTTGTTTGGCACACAGAAAACTATCAGTCAATTTGATAGTTATCACTGGACTGAAAACCACAAGATTGGTAGTTTGAGCCCACCATGAACCCCACAGGATAGAGATAAGACTTTCTACTCCACAAAAGATTTACAAGCCTCAGAAACCCTATACATGGTCACCAGGAGTCAGAACCTACTTGACAACACTTAACAAAAACAACAACTGTGGCTAGGCACCATTTGAAGCCTGTTGAGTCCCATCGGCTCTTATGGAAAGCTACCCAACACTAGGTATTGGTTTGTACACAGCCTTCAGTCAACTTGTACCAAGGTTTGGGTTAGATGCCCAGAGCTTGGCAGACTTTGGATCATCATGGTGGGCCCTTCTGGAGTTTGTTGTGTTGCTGTTGTTGTGCTTGGTGGATTTTGAAGATTTCCCATTTCCTGGCCCTTGCTCCTTCACTCCTTCAAAGGGGTCCCCTACACACCCAGTTGTCTGAGAGTCTGAGAAATGACCATACCTTGGTCCAGGGGGAGAGGCTGAGTACTCGCCAGTCCTGTCCCAGTGCAAGGAGAAACAGAAAGGACAGCAGAGACAGAACATGGAAGAGCTAGATGCTAGGTACTTGGTCAGACTCTGATGTAAATAATTCTAACAATTGTAATGGGATTCAGATTCACTCATTCAATCAATAAGTGAATGCTTCAATTCCTCATTGGTTAGATGGAGGATAATAATAACCTCAATATAATAGGGTTATCGGGATTAATTGAGTCAAAACCAAAAACCTTGTTGCCATTGCATCCAAGCCCACTCATAGTGACCCTGTTGGACAGAGGGTTTCCAGTGTTGTAAATTTGTACAGAAGCTGAAGGAATGGCTAGTGGTTTCAAACAGCACCCTTTCATGCTCTTAACCATGGGGTCACCAATGCAAATGAAAGTGATCAGAACAGAGCCCGGAAGGAAGGTTGTAATGCCATCATTAACATTATTATTCACCACTTATCATACATGACGAAACAAGGACAAAGAATTCATGGTGGATGAAACAGATTAGGTCTTTTTCCACACGAGGTTATATGAAGGTACTTCAAAAAGCTTATGGAAAAATTCCATTACCTTTTAATTCAATTTTTCCATGGACTTTTTGAATCCCCCTCATAGATGAGGATTTGACCAAGAGCTCACAGGCAGAGATGGAAGTTGAACCTCAGATAGAAGTGGGAAATCACTACTCTTCCCATTCCATCACATGGATTCTCAAAGGCTCAGTGAAGGGCAGGGATAAAACGTGGAGACAAAGGTAAGTAAGAAGCCCTGAGGAGAAAAGGGTGGGGGTGGGGTGGGGTGTTTGAGAGAGCCACTGAGAGGAGAGAGAATAGTTCAGGCTGTATGGGTGACAGGAAGGGTCACTCAGAGCTAGACTCCAGAATAAACAGCCATGACTCTATTCCTGTTGTTGCTGTTGTTGTTAGGTGCCATCGAGTCGGCACCTACTCATAGCGACCCTATGTACAGCAGAACGAAACAATGTTTGATCCTCGGCCAACCTCACTACTGTTGCCATGCTTCAGTCCATCGATGCTGCCACCTGGCCAATCCATCTCATTGGGGGTCTTCCTCTTTTTCTCTGACCCTCCACCTTAACAAACATGATATCCTTCTCTAGTGATTGGTCCCTCCTGACAATATGTCCAAAGTATGAGAGACGAAGTTTGGCCATCTTGGCCTCTAAGGAGCATTCTGGCTGCACTTCTTCCAACACAGATCTATTGGTTCTTTTGGCACTTTTAGTATTCTCCTCCAACACCATAACTCAAAGGCATCAATTCTTCTATGGTCTTCCTTATTCACTATCCAGCTTTCGCATGCATATTCCTATTCCCTCTTTAAATGCTTTATTTGCTGCTCCCATATCTAGCAGATCTGTGGTGCCCCAGCCCCAGGCAGCAGAACAACGCCAAGGTGGGCTGTCTGCCCTGTCAGGTGTTGCTGCTCACTAAGCTCCCACACAGTGTATCAACTGTGGGTCCAAGTGCCCTTATCTACGTCATCTCAAACTTCTCAAATCCTCCCAACAATCCTATTCCAACAGATATGACCAAGACATTTCATCTGTGAGAAAACTATGAGTCTCGGAAAACTCAGAGCCTTTCCAGGCCATCTTTCTTTCCAACATGGAATGAACTGAGGGGAACTCACATCAGAGATAACTTTTATTTAAAAATTTAAATCAGATCTGTATGCACATAGATCAAATAGTCTACCAGACTGGTTAAGCCCATGTTCCCGCCTCTATCTGTGGGTGAGGAGGGCAGGGGGTAGGTAAGGTTGGACCCGTCTTTTATTCTCTGGGCACTGGCTGGAGTCCCCTGGTGGCTGCCTTGTGGCAAACAAGGTCTCCTGGGAAAATAAGGTGGCCGTTCTCATGCCAGTTCTGTGGTTTCATTTACTGATTTCTGGCCCGAGTGAACCTAAGGGGCCTTTTGACTTTCCTGGTATTCTGATGAGCGATGTTTATGAGCCTTGAAACTCTTCAACCGTGGTCTCGAGCTGAGATGACTATCAATGTGTGCTCGTCAGAGGACACAGTTCATTCATTTTCATGGAAGGGCTTTACCAAGTCCCCACTCTCCTCCCCTCTCTCCACTTCCACCCCCTTATTATTATTTTTGGCATTTGAAGAGGGCCATATTGTTTCTGGAAGCCAAGAGGGCCGCACAGATTCGGAGAAATGGCCTGTTGGGCAGTGGGCACTAACACTAGGAAGGTATTGCTGGCAAAGCCTCCCTTCTCCTCAGCCCTCTCCTTTGAAGCTCACCCACAGAGCAGGCTTTGTGTGCAGTTCTGGCCTCTGGAGGGAAGCCGGGAGCCAGAGCCAAGGGCAGCCCACTCTCCTCATTAGGAAAGTCCTTCCCACAGCTCCCAGAGCTGAAACAAAAATGGTCCTTCTCAGTGACAAGAAGAGGAATGAGAGCCAACATCCTTTTAGGTGCATTTGGGTAGTGATGTGTTTTGGCAGTCTCATTTCTGTGCCTCACCACAACCTCATCCTTGGCCCTCCCCACCTCTCCCTGTCACTCTCTACGTTCCTGTCACATTGGCCTTCCTCAGTGCTTCCTTCTGCCTTTTCATTAATTCCTGCCCATCCTCAGAGGGTCCCCCGACTGCCCCCTTTATATGTCTCCCTCTTGAAGGATTCATGTCCATCTCCCTCCCCAGGCCATAAGCTCCCTGAGGCTGGGCCAACTGGTCTGTTTTGCTCATCCTGAATGGGAAGTCCTTGAAAGCAGGCCAAAACACTGTAGGTGTTCAGTGAATATTACCAACTGACCAGATGACTGATTATTATCTCCAGTTTACAGGTAAGGTAACTGAAGTTCTGAGAGGCTATGTGACTTGCCTAAGGTCCCAGAGATAAGTCAGAGAGTTAGGCTGCACAGCTACTCTCCTGACTTCTGATGTGGTGATTTAGCCTCGTACTGTGCTTCACTCTTCTTGGTTGAGAAGGACAAAGTTAGGCAGACATCTTGAAACTAACTGAAAGAAGATTTGGATGAAGGCAAAATAATGCTACAATTTGGGATGTATAGATCTCCTAAGTCTGGAAATTCAGAGAAAGGATGGAGAATGACAATGTTAGCAACCCCAGTGAAGAATACATAGTTGGTTGGTAGTGGTTATGTGCTGTGGAGTTGGTTCTGACTCATAGCAACCCTGTATAGGGTTTTCTAGGAGCGGCTGGTGAGCCTGAACTGCCAATCTTGCAGTTCCAACCAATCTTGCAGTCCAGAGCATTAACCCACATTGCCATCCTTGTAGGTATATGGATATAATCTTATCACTGAACAGCAGTGTACTTCAGTGGTGTTGGTGTTGTGCCTTGGAGTCGGTTCTAACTCATAGTGACCCTGTATTGGGTTTCCGAGGCTGTAAATCTTTATGAGAGCAGAAAGCCCCATCTTTCTACCTTCAAACAGTTGATAGTTTCAAACTGCTGACCTTGAGGTTAGCAGCCCGACTTGTAACCACTATGCTCCCAGAGGTAGACGACCCTTTTTGCTGTTTGAAAGAGATGAACAGCAGACACATGAAAGGAAGGGTAGTAGACCTGTGGAAAAGATGATCTTGAATAAGTTATATTGTCTGAAAACAGTATTTCCCTCAGTGCATCTACCGTTTACAAAAGAATCTAAAGGTTTTTCAGAAGCTGAGTTACAGGATCCTTCCACATGTGTTTAGCAATCAGGAATGGCATCCTGGGCTGATAGACTTTGTTTAGAGGCCACTATTCAGAAGCAGGAGTTGCCAACTCCTTTGAAGTTTGAAGTAGGTCAGGACACTCATTCTAAGGGCCAGATGCATTGAGAAGAAGAGTTGAAGAGCTATGGAGGATTAGCAGAAATTCTGGGGGAAAC